TTTGGAACACAGTGGTCACGCTGGGGACTGGACCAGAAATCCTCTGGACAACTAGTACACTCCATGGAGTCTGAAAAAGTAAAAAAAACGTATCAGGATACAATACCAAAGATTGTAACGCTCACCTAAAAAACTTTCACACTTACCAGTAGTGTTGCTGAACTTTCCCTCTGAACAAGGAACACAGTCAAAACAACACTCAGGTTCCCCTTTCTTGTGGGCCATACGAGTTCCTGGAGGGCAACTCTGCCTGCACACTGACCTCGGGGGCTGTGGGATGACAAAAATATCTGTTTTATCTTACATGTAATAGAGACAGGCTAGGAGAGAACTGTCCAAAATATGAATACTCACCTGTTTGAATATAAAGTTCCAGAAGATCTTGTTTTCATCAATAGTGAGCTCTTCACCATTTTTAGCTGACCTCTTAACTTCACCCACAGTGTGAACTTTAGTGCTCCCATCAGGAAGCCACACCCAGTTCACAATGTCATAGATGGGTAAAGCGTCACCGTTTTCATCGAATGACACTTGATCACCAAATGACGTGGTGAAGTTGACTTTTTCCAAGTAATACACAAGCTATAAAAAGACACAACAGAAAATGTTAATATAAACTGAAATGTTAAGAAAACATCTTACCAGAATTTGGTGGTAATACATTTTAAATTAATTTGGTCAAAAGTTCCCAGTTTGAAAGTAGTAAGGTGAGAAAAAGTAAAAATGTTAATGAAGAGAAAACTGCCAACACACCTGCCATGGTTCCAGTCCTTGTAATTGAGCACAGGTGTCTCCACTGAAAGGTCCTCTCCCTGGCTCACACTGCAGCATGTCATCAAGAGCATGTGCCAGAGCATACACAGCCTTATACACATTATACTCTGGCCTGAGGTCTGAAGTATCGAAAACCTCTTTTTTCAAAACAGTCTCAATAACTTCCTGTCCAGTGCACAATCGTCCTCCAGTTTCAAGCCAACCTGCTGGAGGTGGAGCAAATCTACACTTAAAGATGTGTTCCCAGAACTGATTCACCTGGAATACAATAAGGATGTTATTTCATAACATTATATACACTGTACAAATAATGACATGACTGTTACTGTTAAATTCCTCACCATGTTATATCCAGAAGTGTTGTTCTGTTTTGAGACAGGACGTATTTTCAACAGAAAATTTCTCAGTCCTGAGATTTCTCCTCGACGGATAGCAATGCCCAGAGTTCCCCCGAGGTATGGCATGAAGTCTGAAGTCTGTAGCTCAGCAATTGAAGTCCAGGCTTCACTGGCCATCCACTGAAGGCCTGTCAAGTTCTGTCTAACAACCTTTACAATGAATAAAAAAAATGAATAAATTCTGTATCACATATGTGTTGTGTCTTT